AGTAATCTAATCTAGGTCTACCTCTACCCCTCCTAACTCCTGTTTCTGCCTCTAATATGTCTCTGACTAGCCCTTCATGCCTAAGAAGGTGTCCTACCAACCTATCTCGCCTATTTTTTATTGACTTCCATAGAGACCTCTGGTCTCCTATTCTTTCTAATACCTCTTCATTTCTAACCTTCTTTATCCACGTTATCCTCATCATTCGTCTATAACACCACATTTCGAATGCTTCTAACCTATTCCTTTCCGTAGCGCCCATCGTCCATGTTTCGCATCCGTACAGCGTCATGCTCCAAACATACACTTTTAACAACCTTTTTCAAATTTCTAAATTTATTTAATTATTAAATTTTATTGACCTTGGACCTGAGATTTAACTATTGTATTATACATAAGTAGATACTAGGGTTTATTTACGAGAATTCTCAAAGCGAGCGGTTGATTATAATTAATTTAAAATAAAATAAATTAAAAAGAGTTTTTGGTTAAAAGTAGTTCAGCTGTAATGGTTGTATTCAAGGTTGCATCAGAAACCCAGCATTAAAACTATAATTTTTGCAATTGTAATTTTTATGGAAATAACTAATTCATAGCCCTAAATTACATTTTAAATAGATCATAAAACAATGAATCAAACTGGATTTTTTACAATTACCCATTGAATTCTCTGCTTTCTAAATCACGCATCGTGTAATGTTATAGATACGTGAACACAAATAAAACCAATCAGTGCAAGAATTGAACATACTTCTCTATCATCAATAAATAATTTTTACGTACGATTTTTCAATAGAGTCATGTCTGCTATTGAGATTCACTCAAACACATTAATCGACAATTGTCCAATTAGCAAAAGCATTGATGAATACAGAATGGCTTCCTTGTGTACGAACGTTTTATGATAGAACCCAACAACTGTTTACTCGTTTTCTGACAAAATGTACTAGACGAATGGAAGGTCGAGCGCTTTCACAAATTACTTCGTTTTTGTACCATTCTACAGCAGAAAGATACTTAATTAGTTTATTTCAAAATAGAATTCTTTTAGGCACTCCATGAATCATTTAAATGAATTGGGTAATTTCACTAGGAAGAAGACGAGTGAATATAAACATAGGAGACGACAATATAGAAATCGTTGATTTTTGGTATCTAGGAAGTCAGATAATTCAGGTTGGAAGGAGCAGTAGAAATATAAAACAAAAAATAGCGCATCATCGAGTCGCCTTTAATAAAAAGAAATGACTTAATTTAGAAATTCGAAAGACTATTGCGGCGGACAAGAAAAGTTTAGAATCGTTCGAAGTGTGGTTGTCACAGGTAAATAATGAGGATAGCGTGTAGAGAGAAGGTCAGAAATGAACGAATAAATAGGCGGAATAGGCTGGTAGTCATGAAAAGTTAGTTAGACATATTAGAAATCGAAACAGGAGAGTTAAAAAGGAGTAGAGGTAGATCTAAAATACATTGCTATTCACAAAAAGTTAAAAATGTGGGATGTTCTACATTTAAGGAAATTTGAACATTAACTCAGTATAGTCAAGACTGGAAGTGCGTGTATAAAAGTCTTAGGACTGACGACTTTTTGCATTATACTAAGTAAACCAACGTTTATTTTGTTTTTGGAGAAGAAGAGAAATCTTACAATAAAAAGACACCCAGCCATTCTTACGACTGAGTAAAGTGGATTCCGTCCGAGTAGAATCTACCAACTAAAACCTCAGGTCATTTTAAGACCGTTGATTGAGTTTAAATATTAGCTTTAACAGGTATACCTACTGCCGTCTAATAAGGAAGATTTGAATTATTTCTGATTGTTATCAAGAGAAAGACCATTTGTCAAAATTTATCCAAAGTTTGTATCCGAAATTCTTAGAAAAAATGTGTCTGTTATCCATATCCGTCAGGCAATTCATCAAATCTAGATCTTTCCCTAGATACTTGCGATTCCGCCACGAAGTCTATCAACTCTATAGTATCTTGCGGCGTTCCCCGTGTTACACTAGGAAAGGAAAGATACGCTGGAATCTCAGTATTAGTCGAACTCTGCATTTCTATGCAATCATCATCATTTATTGCTTAGTCCCCATTCATTCCTGACAATTTTTTCAGCCAACCAAATCCAAATATTTTTCCAGCGGCCAAAACTCACACACCAATCAAATACAAATATTCCCAATACGCCTAACATTCAAAACTTTTTCAAAAGTCACACACAATAAATTTTTTAAAATTATAAAACAGTAGGAAAGAGAAAATGCGCTGATAGATGTTGTGTCAAGAAAAGAATGGCTGAGATTGAGCTTAATCGTTTTTAGTAGACTGTGTTGTTGATGTAGTGTCAAATGCAAAATCCAAAAGGCAAATTGCAAAAATACATAACATCCATCATTTTTTCATAACTATTGCAAATTATATAGTCTTTTATTTATTACTTTGGTAAAGGTCTAGATGATGGCCCCTACCCCCGAAGGAGATGAGGGTGGGGGGGGGGATCGAAAGAGGTTTCCCCCACCACTGTACCATAAAAAGTTCCTAGCGGTCTCACCCCCATAAAAAGTTATAGGGGTTAAAAGTTAATAAAAATGCCAATTTTTATACATTTCCAGGCATGTAAATATTTATATAGTCATTCTTAAACAATATTCAAAGGTAAAACTAATGGAAAAATACATAAAAATATTGAGAAAGTTATATAAAACATTATTTAAATATCTTTATCAATAGGG